GCGAACAGACCTAATAAATATGTATATCTATCTATCAAAAAAAATGTACGATAATTTTAATCAAAATACGATAATTTTGTATTGTTGGTACGATTTTTAATAATGCGGAGGTTGGCAACGCTGTACCATGCCTTCATCCGGGTGATCCGGGCTTGCGCCTATGCATAGCGCTAAATTGAGTTGGAATGACAGATATCTTAACCTCTAAAATTTCCAACTTAAACGTTTAATAACTCGATTCATGAGGATGACCGCCACGTTTTTCTATAAGATTCTTTCGTTTTGAGTGAAAACGCGTTGAATGAGCCTAATTTCATTAAAATAGGAGGTAAGGTAGCTATTATAAATAATTACCCCCCATTATAAATAATTATTCTATTTTTTAATCTCAGGTCCGATCCATTGGTCGAAAGATTTATGAAGCAGTATTATAAGTTTAGAGATAGTTTAGAGAAAAAAATTTCTGTGTACAAATCATGTATAAAATGCGTCAGAGGGTACTGTCTATATTACTGTATCATAAAGGAATTATAAGGGGGATAATAAACACCTCGATGCGAAAAAATTCCCATTATGTACTGAGCTACGTTTTCCTTGAATATCTACACTGCAGATTCCAAAGATTGTTAGAACAAGCTCTCGAGTGGGTCACATTGTCAGACGCAGCTTTAAAATTTATGCTGGATGATTTGGAAATAACATGGAACGAATACGTCGATTATCATTCTTGTGCAATAGCAAATATACAAAAAGAATTGTCAAGTTCCTGGTTCAATGTTTGCTCAATGATGTCAATGACGAAATATAAATTAATGATTATATCCATGCCGGGTATTAGCAAGAATACTATCCTAATCTCGGAAACAACAGAGCGCAATCTCCAAAACGCTCTTTGCTGCAAACGATTGGACAACTCGTGTTTTATACGTAAATATTTACAACTTACTAAACTGTTTGAATTTTCAACTGTTCACATTTTTTAAAACATTTTGGCATTACCAAACTCAATGAAAAAAACATTGTAACATAAAAGTTAACATTTGTACTTCTGCACAAATGCAATTAAATATTAAAGTAACAGTTTGAAATAATAAAAAGATACGTTTCATATGAAATAGTATTTGAAATAATTCCGTCATATATTAATTAATATTTTGCCGAGATGTAAATTTAGCAGTGAAAATTTCCTCCAGCGTAAACGTAGAGAACAAATTAGGTCCAGTAATTAATGTTTAATGGCCATGATCAGCAGAATATTTATTTTGCAATGAATCCTCAGTACCCACAAAGGATTAGCGTAACCCCCCCCAATTTTCATACTTCAGATGTTTTTTTTCGATCCCTTTTTACTTATCGCAAAATATCTTCTGTGCTATGACATTTTAGACTTTCTAACTCAAAAATTCTTTTTTTTTCAGTCTTTAAAAAATAGATTTTTAAAAAATTAGTTAAAATCCATGCACTACAATCTGAGATATAAACAAAAGAAAATGCTGGAGTACAAATACCTGGATGTGGATAGGGATTTTTTTGAGATGTGGGTACTGAGGGTTAAGTTTTCTTCATGTTCTAATTCAAATATACTTTTCCTCGCAATTCTCAAACTCACATGGATGATTGATCAACGACGTGAATCGTCAGATGCCCATAAGTTAATGATGTAATTATTATAAACTACAATTTGTTTTCAGTACCATTAGAAGACGACGTGATCGAATTTGCATCTGAGGCAAGAATATCCTTAATCGCCAATCCATACGATTGCACGACTGAAATACTGGATGTCATGCTACAAAATTACTTCTTACATCCCCGATTTTTACACGTGAATGACATATTTAGGATCGACGCAAAAGAATATGCTCAAGATCAATTTTACTCGTCCGGGTTTGCTGGAATCTCCGTGATGTATTTTACAGTTCAAGCTTTGAAAGTAAATCGTAACGGGTGCAGCAATAGCCTTAACAGTTGTTACGTTGTACGTGGAGAATCAACACTCATTCAGGAAGCACAAGTCCACAATTATATCCCTCAGGAATGTGTTTGCTCACTTTCCAATGCATTTTTACAGCAAAACAGAGCAACACCAAATCACAAATATCCGTCAGCTCTAATGGAACCCTTGGAACATTTAGAATCTTGCATTACACTATTTTTAAAAAAGGGTAAATGATTTTTGCGTTCACTAAAACTAATTTTTTGTTTATTTAGGAAGAATAATAATGTTCACTATAATGATGAATATTATCGATATATTTACTCCTTATTTTTTGTCATTGTATAGATCTTGCAAATGTCCAGTTGAACGTAAGACCGATATTTCTTGTGAAAGGGCCATGGGGTTGCGGTAAACATAATTTAGTTCGAGCAACATCAAAGAGAATGGGATTGAACTTCCTCGGTATTGACTTTGTGGAAGTGCAGACTTTGACGTCGGCGCAGACCGAAGCTAAGCTTCGCATAATGCTACAAAATGCACAAAAATGCGTGCCATGTATACTATATTTAAATAATGTTCAAGTGCGTAAAAAAGTAACATTGTATTAAATTGTATCTTATATTTTTTCTTTTGATCTTATGAGTTAAACGGAGTTTTCGCAGGTATTTGGTAAAACTATCGAAGGCCAAAAAGATGAAAGGATCATATCCTTCTTCTCGACAGAGATCACCACGTTATACAACAGACATCGAAGATTTCCTCTAATTATCGTAGCTGCGTCGGATGAGACTGATGTACCTGCGGAATTGCAACGGTTCTTTATCGAAACGATTCATGTGAAGCATTTAAATCAAAGCAAACGAGCGGAACTGATATCTTGGCTGCTGTTCAACAGAAATCTAAAGACTATTGCGGACCTATCAAAAGTGGCTTGCTCAGATTTTAAAGTCGCGGATCTATTAGCGTTGTCATTACATGCAACCAAATTTCGATGCAAATCAATGTCTCACGCAAATCATAAATGCACGCTTACTCTGAAACAGGAAGATTTCGATCGAGCTTATGGTACAATTATCTTACAATCGATTCTAACAAGATCAAAAGAGATATTTATTGAGCAATTATTATATTTTATCTAAAGATGTTCACTGTTCTTTGAACAATGTAAATGTTAAAAAACGTACTCCTAAATTTTAAACTCTTTTTGTATTAGATATTTTTAATATACAGGGTGTCTATAAAGTCTGTCACCACTTCTATATTTTAAAAAAGAATTAACAGGTTCCAAAGAATAATAATGCCTATGAGAGCCAAACACAGGACGTACGCGTGTAATGAATTTATTCAATTAATACATTAATATCAATAGACATTTCGATCCTAATGCGGATTCTTCTCAATATCGCAAAACAATCATTAAAGTACAATTAGATAATTTGGTTATACAATCAAAAATGAAATTGAGCTCCCCACTCTGTCTTATTTGAATGTCATATAAAATAAATTGCATAAATTGCATCATATGTGGGATTCTACCAAACAGGTAGAATCTTAAAAGCATGCATTAAAGAACACAGAAACCACATCAATCGGAACATGACATAACATTCAGTTATTACTGCATATAGACTTGATTTCTCACACGAATTCAATTGGGAGAACATAAATATTTTAGATAAAGAAGACTTTATTATACATAAAAGGTTGATGTCTAAAATGATTTTCATGAAGAAACAAATAAATGGCTTAAACATTAAAAAATGACATGGAATCTCTCGACGCACATATTCAAATTTATTTATAAGGATTTTGCTTCCCTTTCTTTACCATCTTTGTCAATGTTTATATATTGTCTAGTTTTTGATTGCGTCGGTCACATGAGAGCGAAAAATAGAACTGACACATTCTCCGAACGACTTATCTTTGCGTTTATCATGTAAGTCTAATAGGCCTTCTACGATAAGCCGCAAGTCAGAACGTCAGAAGTCTTAACCAGTCTTAACCAAGTCATTCAAGTTGGCTATTGGCCAACTTCACCGATTATGACTTAAGATCGCTCAGAACTTCTGACTCGCGGCTTATTGTAGAAGGCCTATAATATTTTATCAGTGATTATTTATTATACATGTCTGTTTAATTCGGTTTAAATAATTTGTCATAATTTGTCATTTAACTTGGTAGTTATAATGAAAATACGCTTGGACATCATAATTTTCTTACGTTTACATTTCACAAGTCACGGCCATTCAGAATTCGATTTCTTAATTTCATTTTTTAACTGTATGACCAAATTATCGAATTGTACTTCAATAATTTTGCGATATTGAGAAGATTCACGTTAGGATTGAAATGTCTATTGATATTAATGTATTGCTTGAATAAATTCATTACATGTGTATATCCTATGTTCGGCTCATATAGGCATTATCATTCTTTGTTCTATATTTTGGAAATTTAAAATTATGAAAAAAATCACGAAATACATGTTCGATCATTTTAAGAGGCTACTGTTTTAAGGGAATTAGGGAGGTCGTCCTCCCTTAATATTGTAGCATATTATTTGGAAGAGCAAATAGAGTTTTTCAAACTTTGATACTGAATATCTTCCGAACGAATCAATGTATCACCTTTATGTTGAATCAAAAACTTTTTTTTATATGCCCTTTTAAATAATATGCTATAATGGGGGGGGGGGGGGGGGTTTTTTTTATGAGGTCCCCCTGGGACACCCTCTGGGGGAGAGGGGCAACCTTCCCGACTCCTTTAAAAGAATAACCCCTCAAAATGATCGAACACGTATTTTGCGGTTTTTCATAATTTTGAGCCGTTTCCAAAATATAGAGGTGGTAATAGATTTTATAGACACCCTATATTTTTTCTTCATGTAACAGATCGAGATTTGGTCTTGCTGAAGTTGGAAATAACATTTTGCTTCTTATGCGCATATAATAAGTATAACAGAAAAATGTTTTCAGAATATATGCAGTCTGTGTACGATAATAAAGGCGCTCCACACGTACCAGAAGTCCACTGGGAGGACATAGGTGGTTTGGCAGACTTGAAACACGAGATTATTCGCAGAATTCAGTTGCCTCTGTTGAATGCTTTCAGATTCGGACAGTCTGGATTATTATTATATGGCCCACCAGGCACTGGAAAGACTCTTCTCGCTAAAGCGGTGGCGACGGAGTATCAGATGCACTTTCTGTCAATTAAAGGCTCGGAAGTGCTAAATATGTACGTCGGTCAGAGCGAGAAGAACGTAAGGCAAAGTATGTATTGCTTAGAAGAAACACAAGATAGGGCTGTGATAAAAATATGTAACAAAGAATTAATTATTTGCTTCAATCAAGTTGCAAATTAACACATTATTTCCATTGTTCTATAGTTTTCAAACGCGCGCGATCCGCGGCTCCTTGCATCGTCTTTTTCGATGAGCTGGACTCGTTAGCGCCCAACCGAGGTAGAAGCGGGGACAGCGGCGGCGTAATGGATCGCGTGGTTTCCCAGTTACTGGCCGAGATGGATGGCCTCGAGGAGTCCGGCAGTATATTTATCATAGGAGCGACGAACAGGCCCGATCTCATAGATCCCGCGCTGCTCCGACCGGGAAGATTCGACAAAATGCTCTACGTCGGTATCCATTCCAATCTCGAATCCAAGTTCAGCGTGTTGAAGGCGCAGACACGTAAATTCATGTTCCAAGAAAATGGACGTGAGTTGGAACGAATCGCGGACCAATTGCCCGATAACGTCACTGGTGCGGATTTGTACTCGGTCTCTTCCAACGCGTGGCTCAATGCCGTACGCGAGGTACTTGCAAAGCATCAGGAAACTGAGAGAATCAATAAGGATTATTCCATCGAAGAGGAAGGTATAATTAAGGACAATGTTATCGTGGAATTGCGTCATTTTTCGGATGCTATTTGTAACTTGGTGCCTTCAGTCACTGATGAAGAAATCAAAAGATATAATAAAATGCGAGTAGAGTTATCATCGTTGTAATTCCGAAATCGTTTCTCAAGATATAGTATAAAATGTATTATTATCTTACGGTTTTCGAGAGTCATCATTTTAAATGATGACTCTGATGAAAATTTTTTTTAGAATTTTATCGATTGGAACATTTTTTAGAAAAAGATTAGATCTTTTCTTAAAATTTTTTATATATGTAAATTCTGAAAACATTCTAAAATTTCTCACAGCCTATAATTAAAAAGAAATCTTAAACTTTTTCAGGTTCTATAAGATTTTATCAGAAATTATTAAATGAAAAATTTTAGAAATTTTAGGATTTTTCAGAATTCACGTATGAAAAATTTCATGTATGAAGAATTTTAAAAAAGATGTAGGCATTCTTGGCATTTTCTGAAAAGTGTTATAATTTGTATAACAAATCTGAAATTTTCTAAAGAGTTATAAAATTATTTTAAAAATTATAAAAAATTATAAAATTTACACAAAAATTCTAAGAAATGATATGAAAGATTCTCATCAGAAAAATGTTCATCAGGAGAGTAACCAGTCAAATTGATTATTATTTACGGTGATAAACTTGAATGCGTTTATAATGAATTTTATCTTGTGCCAAAGTTTTTAATTCTTATAGATCACATTGTATACTGAATATAATGTATTTAATGTTTATGTGTATATGGTAGGAATGTGCGATCTTCATTAATTGTATCGATTTTTGAATCGATTTAGAATCGGTTGAATCGAATTAGAATTGATTGAAATCGATCTATTAAAAGATCGGAGCTGAATGAATCGATCTATTGAAGATCGATTCAATTAAAATTTTTTTGTAACATCTCGCGAGAAATGGATGTCGAATAGATGTCGAATCGATGATAATTTGATGATTTCTCACTGGGATTGTAGAAATTCAACAAAAACAATTAAAACATGATTCTGATTTGCCTCCGAGTAAAATAATTTTAATTTAAAATAAAAATCTAGGTTTAATCTAACATCTGTAGTTATGATATAAATCAATTATACTAACATAAAATCGCTAAAATATCGTATATAAATTCAATTTGATGACAACTGTTAGTATCAATTGGTATAAATTAGAATTTAACTAGCATTTATTTATACATTTTGTCAGTAGTAATTACTAGTTGTAACTACGGATATTATTAAACCCGATTAATGTCAACTGGTAACGTAAATGTAGGCAGTGTAGGCAGTTGGTAGGGCTGCCAACAGCATTAAGAAACATCACCTGAGTGTATCCAGATATTATTTTATCCTTGTTCAACATTCAGTGAACAACAGGAATGAAATGATATTAAAATATATCTTGAATTTCCGAATCCGCCCCTACGCTTCGAAGAACGATCGATCTCTTACTAAATGAATCGATTTATCTTAAAATCGGATACTGGCGAATCGATTAAAAGATCGGATCGAGATCGCACATCCCTAGCTATATGGTTTATCTGTAAAAAGATATAATTTCGCGAATAAAACAACGCGTGTGTTATAAATGACATGTTATTTTATTTCGAGAAGTTTGTAAAACAATTTTTACAGCGAATAATTAAAACGAAGAAAGAGTCAATTTACACTCGTTATGTATTATCTTCGTTTCGTATGAATGAATATTTCTCCGCGTATTTACGTCAAATCCTCAAATGTTAGCGCGCGATGAGAAACGCAAAAGTATCGGAATTCTCGTCTCATTTTTTCGGGGCACCGTTATGAAATATACTTTGAGCGCTTTTCACGCACGCGTTCAATACATTATGCAGTACACGACGACCAGAATATGCAATGTAGAAAAATAGGACATCTAATTTTACCAGATACACCCGTGTAGACGCCGAATTCGAAGGCTAAAATTCTTTAAAGGTGGAACAATATTGAAACTGATGCAATTACGTGCACAATAGAAAGCGAATAAAAGTATCGGGTGCATCGGTTCTCATATCGCACAGGATCACATGATGATACTAGCGATTTTCTCGACAATGGTCGTCATTCGAGTTTGCAAGATAAATTGTGTCCGCTTTTTGTAACAGCGCGACGCAAAGGAATCTCCGTAATAAGGAAGAAATTCAACGAGAGGACGAACATCATATCTAAATATATAATTATATAAATATACTACATTATACTACACGATGGTTCGTCTTGTTTATGTGTATATGTATTTTTTATGTGTATGGTCTCTTGTTTATGCGTATATTTTTTTTTATATGTATGGTCTTTTGTTTATGTGTATATGTATTTGTGACACCCCCCCCCCCTCTCTCTCTGTGTGTGTGTGTGTGTGTGTGGGCGCGCGCGCGTCAAAAAGATCGTAAAACACGTTTAACAAGTGATCACACATTATAACGTTTTCCAGACGATTACATCGTATACCTTTGGTATTATCGCGAGGTAGTAATTATAACTTTTCGTCGTACAACTGTCTCGCGGAATAGACGCAGAACGGTTGCATTGTCGTTTCAGAATTGATGCGCAAAGTCTAATTGTTGTCGTCACGACGAATGATTGCTTTTGCAAGCTGAACGCTTTGACAAAGCCACGCAGCAGGACCATTATCGCTCTTATCTCGTCGTTCATGTGATTTGCCCCATCGCAGAACAAAACGATTATGCATTATACTTGAGAATCTACCACAAGACGTAAATGAATGTAAAGCTATACGCTTGGTGTATCTCGTTATGGCGCTACTTTCGATTCAACGCGATCGTACAACTTCAACTCGTCATCGCCAAATACGCCTCGTTATCGTCGTTTGAACACTATTGTAGTTATTCTCATTTTCGAGTATTTTCCATCATGATCCATAATATATACGCTCTTACAGTAAATATATCCGTAACTCTCTGATTGAGTCACGAGCGCGTTTCATCTTGAAATTGTCGAGAGCTGTGAACTTCTGATATTCGGTACGTCACTTCTCTACGGTCGGTTTCGAATTCAATTCCGATTTTTTTATTTCTTCCTCTGCTCTATATCGATACTCAGCGCGGTGAGAAGCCGACAAGTATCACATGGTAGATACGTAATTGTGTAAGCGCGTATTGTGAGTCAGAAAACGAGATGCTCCGCGTAGATTCGGATCTAGGAGATCGAAATCTTTGCGCATTACTCTCTAAGGCTAACGCGTGCCTTGGCGTAGTTCTTTCAACTAGAATAAAAAATCACGAATGTGAATTAACAATTTTATACATCTGAATCGTTATTTTGTTGCTTTTATTCTCTCCGAGGTATCTTGCGTGCGTATAAATCATACAGCTCTAACATGTGTGGAGGACATACATAATATACGTTAAATAGCATCAGTACTATCGTTATACATTTATACAGTGAAATGATCTAGCAAACCGATGCTCTATGTAGAATTATATCTTAAACGAATATGTGTGTGTATGCGCGCGCGCGCACGCACGCATACACACATATGTGCTCGTTACATCGATTAAACAGTAGAACATTATATTGCCTTCGATTGAATAATTTCTAAACAAGTTTTCGATCCCGGAACAACGCGACATCTCGGATCGCGTGTTCGTTGTGCATGAAATATTTTGTATAATACAAAATGTGGAAAATAAGCGACCGAAGACTTTCGAGGAGCGCTCTCTGACGTACGTACATATGTACGTGTAAGCGAAATCTCATGGTGCGCAAATATATAATTAATCTTTATCTTAAGTATATCGAGGAACGAAGTAGTAACTACGCCTAAAGGCCCGTCTACAATACACGGAGTAAGAAGTAAGAGTAAGAAATTGACCAATCACAGTCGATTATTCTTCTCACATTCGACTGTGATTGGTCAATTTCTTACTCTTACTTCTTACTCCGTGTATTGTAGACGGGCCTTAAGAGAGATTACTATAAGGAGAGTACGGGACACGCGTTATTCTGCTCAGTGCGTGCTATGTATGTGGTTCGTAAAGAAATACTTCGGCAGACGTAAGTTGTCTTTGGTCGATCGTCGTCTTTATTTACATCTTGCCGTTCGTGTGCCACGTATAGTGAAATCACGCGATACGAACAGTCTCCTACGCGTCAGGAAACGAAAACGTTTGAACTTATGGTTGAAGATCGAAAGTCAGTATGTAACGAGGAAAAATCCGTGAAACGTGTTCCGGTGTTTTTTGAAAGATGCTTCAAAAGCTCTCCCATCCTCAGTTTCTCTCCATTGGTTCTCCCTCGGTGACTCACGCTCACGGCTCACTGTCTGCTTGCAAGCGTGTCTCTCCCCCTCACAGTTTGAAGCATAAAATGGAACACCGCCGATACCGTACTAACGTGAGGAGACGCTCAGTGAGAACGCGCGCGCGATGCATCTGTGAACGCATCAGAGGTGGGACTTACAAAAGTTCGCGCGCGTTTCTTGTCAAAAGTACCGTCTAGCAGGTAAGGTCGGTCATGAGACTTCAGTGTTCGGTCCTGCGATCAGATCAATCAGATATTTTCTCAAATTGTAATCATTTTCGATTATGTAATAATAATGTGATATTTTAGATGCGTGACACACGAAGCGCGAGGAACGACACCGATATAAATGAATTTATTCGGACTACATTATCCAAGTGAAGTGATTGCTATTCAGCAATAAGCCGATTAAAATACTGTGGAAGAAATCGAGAGGAAAGTACCTTTTTGAGATTAATTTTTCACAACTTGAATGTATGTCGTTCATAGCGCTTTATATTCGCGAACACATTTGTTGCGACTGACGTCGTTTAATTGTACCTGGTCAGGAGGATTTCGTGGCAAATTCATGCAATATGTCACATGCCATCTCCAGATCATTCCTGGTGATGCCGAGTGCCCTGATCACGGCGTCCTGCGCGAAACCGAGCGCTGTCAGCCTTGTGATATGCTCGACATTGACATTCTCGTACGCCGCCGACTCCGGTTTGGTTACCGGTCCACCACCGCCATCACTACCCGGATCATCTCTCGCTCTCATCAGTGCCGTGAGACGTGCCCTGTTCGCTTCCAGGTTAATGTTCTTTACAACATGTTGACTCGTGCCGCAGATCACAATCGTATTCTCATAATGATGGTCTTGACGGATGCCACCCTCCTTGCTAGTCTTCGGTGGCCGCGGTGCCGACAAGGGCGGCGGTACAGGAGGCACGTTGTTACTTGGACCTCCAGTTTGATTCATTATCGAGTTGGTTGCAGTGACGCGACACGCTTTTTCTGGCAATGTCGGCGGTGGCTGCGATTGTCGTTGCGGGGTGCCTGCCGCGTGATTCCCATGGGAACGTCGTGGATGAACCTTTACCACCGTCGTTGGTGGCACAGGCGGTACCGGCGGCACTGACGACGGCGAAGATGCGCGGTGCAGCATGTCGTATCTCGCCTCTGTGTTAACTGAAAACACTCAACATTTTTATCTTGCCTTCCGAAGATCACAACTTGACGCGATTTGTGCCTATATTGCAATAAACTGCCACTTTTTCTACGATTCTTAATCCGAAAGTAGTTACCTGATTTTTTAAAATATAAATTATCATATGGGATATTTTTTACTCCAATTAAAATTACTGTTATTAACAACATATATATAATTTAATAATAAGAAATAGAAGTAATGGCCGTAACAGTTAAAGCTAGATCTTTAATGCTTAAATAATTCAATCTGAATTACTATATATACTATATACAGGGTGACCCATTTTAACTTAGACAATCAAATAACTCGAAACATCGCGTTTAAAACAAAAATTGTTGGATATAAAGGGGCTGATTGAACTATGACCTTGACAATGACCTTGATCTTCATTTTCAAGGTTATTTGAAGGTCTACTTTCAATTTTCAAATAGAAACCCATATTTTTGATCCCGGATTTTGAAAGAGCGCAAAATTTTACGTCCAGATGAACTTTCATGTTATGGGTCAAAGTTGACTATAGAGGTCATTTCAAAGATAAATTCCTAATCGAAGCAGAAAGCCAAAAAATCTTGATTTTTCCCGGATAATGTTTGTGAGAAAAATTGTTGGATGTCGAGGGGAGACCAAACCATGACCCTGACAATGTCCTTGAACCCATATTTTCATGACCATTTCAAGTGGGGATTTTTAATAAAATTTTATGCTACATATGTATTTTCTTGTTGTGATTCTTTAGATATTAGTATACCTTACCTTCAAAATCGAAAATTAAACTTTTCATCTGATGGAGTTCCTCTAAGTATCTCTCCAAAATTTTGTCCATTTAGTGCCAAAGTCACAAGTGTTTATGTATTTTTTTAAACATTTGTAATCTGATAAAATTCTGGTCAGTAAAATGGCAAATTATACGCCTACAGAAGTAGTCGATATTCTTATAACCTTTGGTGAA